GGAGGCTGCGGCTCCAGTTAAATCACAGGACTACGAATGGTCACTTCTAAGTTGGCTCTTTGGGCAGATATGCTTTTGAGATCCCCATGATGCACACTTCTTATGTAACGGAGGCGTGGGAGTGGGTAGAAGTAATCCTTTTTATTAGATGAACTAATAGAACTGGAAGACGGTGGCGAGGTTTGGGCCACGCGAACCCTTTCCCTTCGGGGCTGAAAGGGAAGCAGCAAAGGTCAGAGCTGAGGAGCAACAGCTGGGAGGCTCGTCAGGCACCCACAGCCCATCCAGGAGCAAGCACCGGGGGAAAGAGAGCAACAGCTGATTCATGGAAGGGTTAATGAGAAGAAGAAAGGCTGTAATTATGCCAAGAAACCAGGTTTTTGTCCAAGATTTTTTAAATCTGTACAATTATGGATTTTACTTCCCAGTAAATCATTTTACTCCCTGGTTTCAAGCTCGGTCTCCTGGTCAGACAGACAGTAGCTCCTGTTAGCTGTAAGGAAACTGGTGCGAGATGAATAAAAGAGGGCAGAAAAACGTATGCTTATGGAAACTGTCCCAGGGCCGCAGGGAAGCAGTCAGAAAAGTTTACGTGGCTTTGGGAAACCCAGTAAGTTGGCTGCGATGCTGAATCTGGAAGGCCTTCAGTTAGCAAAACAGTGGCTGGAATAAGCCCATGAAAGGAAGCTGGATGCTCCTGGCAACGATGCAGACCTGTGATTTCGTGCCCAGCTAAGCAAGGAAATGGGCAGCGAGATCAGAGGCTATTTTGACTCGGCTCCTAGGAAATGAGCAGGTACGGCCAAGCCAAGAAATGAGGCAGCGCCACCGCACAATGGCTGGAAAGTGGAAGGGTGGACTAGATAACAGCATTCACACGGTTATTATCAAGATAGGCAATTACCAGTCCTGGCTTTTCAAGGCTAAGTTGCCAGTTCAAAGGCAGGCCACCACAACGCCAAACGATTCTTGCTCTTTGCCTTCAGCCCCCCTCTTCTGGGAAGGCTCTGACCTCCCCCGCCGGCTCTGACAGCAGGAACGCAAAGGGGAGACCCAAAAGCATCTTTACACGTGGGGCCGTGCAGCTCCGTGGCTTGACCCACAGCTCGGGCAGCAGGCAGGGTTTTGTGCCTCTGCTGCCTTCACCGAATCCACTCTGCAGGGGGAGGATCCGCATCTCAGCGGCACCGCAGTAACTTCAAAGAGGAACGGGAGAGAAACAGCAGTGGACAGTAAAAAACATGCTGCGAGGAAGTGGGGCTAACAGAAGAAAATCTCTGATATTAATTAGCCGCTGCCCGAACTCACGCTGGCATCGTTCCCAATTTCCACCAGCATAAACAACTTCAGAACAGGTTAAAATGGAAAGAGTCAAATCTATGGATCATTGTTTTTGAGACCAATTGAGAAGAAATGCGATAATAGTTCAGGAAAGGGCGGTTTTCATAAGGACAATGATGGGGAAAACCAAGGAGTCAGCACTTTGCCAAAACGTTATCCCCAGCACCAACTTTAGGAAATTGGCTCTGAGCCTAAGGGGGGAGCCTTCCCATCACATCGCATGGCAAGCACGGCTCACATCCCTACCCCGTGTTCACCAAGGGTCATGGGACAGAAGGATCCGTGCTAAAGGAGAGCCTCGGGCCTTAAACCAGACCCAAACATGGAGAACTTGCGTTCAAGCGCTATCAGCTGCTCAAAATCCTCCTGTTTCCAAAAGGAGCTGCATGAAAGGACTCACCCTCCCTTCTCCTTGGCGCATGCAGCTCCTGTGGGCTAGGGGTAAATCTGGCTGCCTTCACTGCTTCGCTTTTCTGCCCATCATCCATGTCCCAAAGTCCAACCAGCCAAAGGAAAACTGTAGTCAAGCGTCTAAATCTAACACCAGAACTCTGGAGAAATTCCTAATTGTGTAGGACTGCTGAGCAGGCTGCACGAAACCAACTGTCTCGGCACCAGCTCAAGTGAAGTCACTGTTGAAATTAAAGTCAGTATTTTAGGACTGGCAGGCAGACGGCAGTTCTGCCAGCTTATGATCTTGTTGCATGTCGTTCTCACCTTTGAGCGATTGCTTTGCTTTCATACGGCCGTGGACGCTGAATTAGGGATCGTAAGAGAATTTCAGCATCAGCCTTATGAATTTCTTGTTTTTTTCAATTTAGAGAAAAGGTTGCATGATCAGACAGCAGGAAGAAAGCAATCCATGCCCTTGAAAAGGGTCATCAGATCAAAGTTGGTCTCTCTCTGGGGGGAAAGGAGAGAAGTAGGACTTAAATCATTACTTCTCAACCCATAGGTTTCCAAGCCTGGAAACACCAAAACTTACCGTTTGCTAAAACGCAGCGAGAACGCGTGGTGAGAGAGCTCCTCTGGAAGGGAGGGCCTGCAGGCTGGTGGCTCCGACTACCTCCAATGCCCAAGCACACCCGGCTCGGCGGCGGCCCCCGCCGTGCCAGCTGGGTGCAGGAAGGCCTCTGTATGTCAGAAAGCAGCTGAGATTTCACTTCCTTTTTCCCCTACCAAGGTATTAGCTAAGGGGCTGCAGTAACTATGATTTCAGTCTAAATCAGGGAGATCAAATCTGATCTACAAATGCTGTGACATGAAAACTCAGGTAGGGTGCTGATCCCACCCTAATTTCGAGAACAGGACAGCAACAGAGATGTTCATAGAGCTCGTAAGATAACCACAGCCCTATTAAAAAGTGTTCCAGTCGATGAAACTGAGGTCGAAACCATCACCAGGGAGTCATTAACAGCAGCACGTTTGAGATCCTAATGTCGTTTTGCAGGAACAGCAAAAAGGTCTTTGTTACTGGATAGCTAGAAATGCAGCTGATCCAAGGAAAAACCGAGGCATCGCAGCCTCTCTTTGGGGAGCAGGCAGGTGACACCCGCCTCTGCCAGGCACAGCTAACAGGAGCACCCACGCTTTGCCTTAGAGGGAACAGGTGCCTCGCATCGGCAGGGAGGGCAAACAGGCAGGAGGGTACTAGGAGACGAGGGGTTGGGGAGCAGGGAGGAAAAACAGCACCAAGAAGAGCTTCAGTCCCAGCTGCAGGTCTGCTCTTGCGCTTTGCACAAGCGTGTTAAAGGAAAGGAGGGAACAAGGCTCTGGGGTAAGGACTGGTGTGCTCTCCTTCCAGGTCTTACCAAAGCATGCTGACTTCTTCCCCCCGCTCTGGGGCTCCGTGGCTGCTTACTACAGGCAAAGTAAACCAGTGCCACAGCAGGGCTGGAGAACATCCCTCTGCTGAGGAGGGCAGTGGCATCTGCTGAAGTTTAAAAGAAAAGTTGGAGGCAGTCCTAGCAGGAGGTGGTAAATCCCAGTTAATTCCTATTTACAGAGAAAATGCAGAAACTCCATAAGATATTATCTATGTCAAATCCAGGCGCTGAGTCCCTCAAAATGAGACTTGCACACTCCAGTCTCACAGGAGCCATGAGTGAGCTCTGGCTCCCGCTAACTTGTCTTTACAATGGGCTGTGCTGAGGCAAGTTTCCATAAAGCCCAACTGCGGGTGGCATAGCCCCTCTCCTCCCCGTTGCCTCAACCCCCGCCCCCAGGGCCCCTCTCCTCCCCAAACTACACAATTGCAATGTTGAACCATTACTGTAGTTGCAAAATGTTGGCTGATGGGATTCCTGGGCTTGGTAAATCTGCTGTGCATCACCCTGAGCGTAAACACAGATCTGGAGGAACACGAGAAGCAAACAAGCCAGGTCCACTGACCTACAGCCTTGCCCTCTCCTGCTTCAAGGGGGCTGTCCCTGTCAAACAGACCTTTAGGCTGGGATACATGGGGGAAGAAAACAAAAAAAAAAGAAAAAAAAAAAAGGTAACTTACAGCTAGGTGCATTTTAGGCAACACAAGTAGAAGCCTAGCAGGAGTTGCTAGACTCCTCATGTCTAGTACACAGCTTTCAGCCTCTTGACACTCCCAGCAGAAGCAATTAATTTCTGGGACAAACAGAGAGCTATCCCGCTCCGCAGATGTTTCCTCTTAGTTCTACTGGACTCGAGTCAATGAAAACGTGGCAATATCTGCACAGCAACACATGGAACTTTCCACCAGCCCAGATGGGAACAGGAGCAGTCTCAGTTGAAGCCTCTATTAAAAATCTAACTGCTATTTTTGTTTGGGATGCAAGGGAGGGGTTAAAGAGAGCTAAGAAAATAGAAGTGGGCAGCATAGCCCTTAGCATGCCTGAGAACCACAGTCTCAAAGATTCCTTGGCAGATGTTGTAACAACCAGAAGAGCTGTAGGCCCTTTTACCCCTGTCAGAGCTTTGTTTATCCACTTGGGATATGAACTGGTAGCAGCAAACCTCCAGGGGCAGCTGAGACCAACTAGCAGCTGTGTAATACTTTTGGCCAGGCTCATTATTTATATCTCAGGGATAGAAGCAGCCCCAGTCTGAACTGGGGCCACACTCCACCCCACTGCTTTTCAATGCCAACAGATGGGAGGGAGTGAGGGTGGAAGGAATAGGACCCCTTGAAGACCCCCAATTCATTCTGTGCCTGCTTAGACAGCTACAGAAGACCTGGGGGGAGGACGTGCATGGTTAGAGGAGGCGCTGCAGAAACTTGCACCATGTTAATTTACACTTACACTCTCAGAAAGTACTTGGTACCAAGTATTTTGTGTCTGTGGTAGCCATTTTTTTCATACACAGCTGCTCCACAGGTTTCCCTGTGCTAGCAGCAGACACAGATGCCCAGGTAGCAAGAATTTGCTTTTTAGGTATCTTGAGCACATAGCCTGGATCTCAGATGGGCTAAATATTTGCCATCCTTAGTAAGAAGTGGAGAGGGAATGCAAATATATTCATTCATATTAATCAATTTAAAATTAAAAGCATCTGGAGAGGAGACAAGACGCATCTTAAATGATGTAACTTGCAAAACGCTTGGAGATCCTTCAGCTGGAAGGCTATATAGAAATACACTATTATTACCATGTTACAAAATTCGCCCTGGAAGTAACTCTGGGCAGCCTTTTGGTAAGCAACTAGAAATCTGTAATAAAATAGGCAACAGCTATTCAGAGAATGACTGTGGTTTAAGACTTGCAATCCTCATTTAGGTTAACCATTTTCTGAAACATTAAACAAAAACTGCCTGTGGTAAGCCTAAGGTACTGTAAATGGTTTTTATCCCTTCAGTTTTCTTTCTTTCTACGTTGTTACAAGTAGCTTTGCGTGGCAAGGAATGGATCACAGCTACTGTAAAGCTGATGTCGGGTTAGTCTTTGCTTCACATAGAATAACCCTACTGGAGTGATTAAAAATGATATATATAATCATTGTCACTTCTTGCCTGTATTACTACATAGCACTATCATAACATACATAACTCATTACTCAAGGTACTGGAAAAAAACCCACCTCTTCAAAATAGACATCCTGGGCAAATTTTGTGGGACAATTTATTTTTTCTTTCTTTTTTTTTTTTTTTAACCTGCCTGCTTGTTATAGTAGTGGCAACACATATCTGAAATACACAGTAGTATTGCAGTCACCTTGAATAATTATGTGAGTGAGCTCTAGGAAAAGGGCTGAAGAAATTGGGGGACCTTAAGTACACCATATATTTTAATTAGATCATGATAAACCTTCCCCTTCTCCCCATCAAACACATTCCAGACAAGAGAATGTTCTTAATCTGGAAATTCAGAAAACACTGCTTGAGTAAGAGCTAAATGATTCCTGGATTATTGTAGTAGCTTTTGCCATAACGTTTGTTCAAAACGATCCTTCTAACACTTGCAGCAGAAATATTAACTTCTTGAAAATCAACTTTTTCCTTCAACTTCTTCCACCTGTTGTCTCTTCCTATCCTGCCAAATAGCTTACTCTTTGCTGGGCCAGCCAATTGATGTAGGGAGGGAATCCACTGCTTTGAAGACCTGGTGATACAACCTGATTGCATACCTTATCTGCCATCTTCTGTCTTTCCCTGTGAAGGATCATTACTGACAGCCACTATGCTTTCCCAGCTGAATTATCAAACTCCTAAAAAATTAACTTATTTTCCCCTTCTACCTTAGCCATGCCCCTTCTCCTTAGCCACCATGAGAGGTTTTGGCTAGGTTACTATTGTACCTGTTGGCAAAAGGGATAGGCAGAGCTCTAGTAAGCAAAGAAATCTTGGTTTAAAATATGAATTAGAAACTTTGGACCACGTTGTATTTATAGTAAAATCTAACCACATTTTATTTAAAGAAAAGTAAGATAATTTAAAGGAAGACTTCCACAAAGCGCTGTTCTCATCTGGCTGGGGAATAAAAAAAAAATTTCAAGAGGCCCAAAACCTGGCTTGTGCTGTACCGAGGACATCCTCATATATGTTCTAGAACACAGCAGCTGGTCTGCAGAAGTGGAACACACAAACAGAATTAAGTGGAATATACACCAGTCACTCTTGAAAGCAGGCTCAAGCACCTCCCAGGCAATTGCATCAATCGCTGCTGGTGCACTTCCTAGGTGTGGACAGTTACCCATATGGAAAGTATCTCAAATTTGCTCATTTGCATTTAACTGTAGCTAGCTTTATGCTTAGTAACATTTTAAAAGCCTCTTAGCCAGAAGGATAAAGGTACTGGAACAAAAAATATCCTTTTTCTATATACAAACTGACAAGATTGCACAATCAATTAAAACCAGTTTTGAACATTTAATAAAAACTCATCCTAGAAATCCAACTTTCTGCCGTGAGGTCCCCAAGCTCTCTTCTTCATCCAAAATCTTCTGAAGGGCTATGTGCAATGACTTGCCTACTCTTTTTCCCGTCTGCAATGCAAAGAAAGCAAAACAAATCTGAGACATATGCTTATTAACAGGAAGACAACCCTCATGGAACACTTCCTTTTGACAAATACATTCCCTTTCATGATTAATATACACCAGCTGGTATAATAAAAACATGCTTTTAATTCAGAAAAATAACGGTGGTGGAAGTTTCATTTTAATTTAAGTTTTGGAAAAATGTACACATAAAGGCAGCGCTCCCATTCATCAGAGAAACATTCCATGATCATTAACACCATATCTGTGCGCTGCTGGATCACCCAGGAATACCAATTAAATTCACATGAGGCACAAGCACACATTCAAATTAGCCAGCACACGCAATATGCAGCAATATGCTAGCTGCCAGAAGACAAGAGATACCTGACCAGCAAAGCAGCCACCTAATACAAAGTTCAGTAAACTCTTTTGAATGTGCTCAGAATCAGCAGACTGAATTTAGACCAGCTCAACACTCTCTCATGTGGCCAGAGAAGCCCAAAATGCACACTGGCTGCATCACCAAATCAGTCTGTGGGCAGATCCTTCGTTATGATGTGCAATTCTTTACTGTCCAAGGACCTTAAAGGAGTTAACAGATGGTTTTCCATAGAGAAACTAACTCCAGCAGTGGAAAACCACCAGGATTAGCTCCGATACCAGCCTCTACTCTTCCCACATGCACAATTGTACTGTGGAAGCTGCAGGACAGGGAAACATTGGGCAATGCTGAAATAAAGGTCTTAAGGCAGTGGTGCCTGTTAGAGCTTTCCCAGGGTTTCTCTAAATGACCTGAAACACTGACTCCATACAGAAATGAAAAGAGCCCACCTGTCCCTAAAAAGCCAAAGACAGATTATATTAAACTGAGTTTATTAGCTCCTGATCTATGTAACGAAGCCTATGCCTGCCATACAGCTGACCACAAAGCTCTCTTGCACCTGTTGATGACAACTGCTGACACTGTGGGTGCACAAACCTTAAAAAAAGGTTTTTCCTAATTTTTTTCTAATTTCTAATCAAAGAGCGAGGTGACAGAATATGGCCCATAGTACCAAAGGAAATTTGGAAGGAGCTTTGATGCAGCAGGGTAGCTGTCAATCCTAGATGCTATGAGTCATGCTAAATAAAGGTGGGCACACATGAGAATTGTTACAGCTCTGCACTGAGACAAAGATCACAGCGGCAGCCTGGAGTCCTCAGGGGTGATATACTTTATGCAGTCTTCTCAAACGTAGGACATCACCACTCACACCAGGTCAAAGTGAATGGGAACTGTGCAGAGCTTCAGTATCGACACAACACACAACGCTGTTGCCATCTTATTCCTGCTTGCCTGTCTTATGGATTGGATCATAAACTCAGTAAAAAAAGCCTAATGCTGGCAGCTTCCCAAAACTTTCCCATGAAGCTGCCTTCCTAAGAGATATATCCTAGGAACATCTGTTCTCTACCAGGCAGGGAAAGCTGAACACTCTCTGACGTGCAGCCAAATCATTAGGGAATGGAGGTGTCAAGCAAGGGTTATGCAGCTCCTCCACTGGACATTCCCAGGCTTTTTTATTTTTCTTGGTATCCTAATCAGGCTGCTGAGTTTGAGGCAGGGCCAAACAGATAATCTCTGACCTCCCAGAAAACATCTTGGTTTTCTCTCTCTGAGCTTTATCCCTCACTCCTCCAAACTGCTCACCACCCAGCAGGGAAGACTTCTTCCAAAGCAAGTGAGACAGCACAACTCACTGGGTGATCGATCAGCTTAAGCTTTTAACTCCTTGCACCAACAAGTAGGGACAAGTTCACTAAAGCTCTTAAGCAGAGTAGGACAGTTTGAAGATTTCCTATGGTTACCTTCCATATGCATCTCTGATGAGTGTTTAGATGAGCATTGTATAATCCCAAGCACAGCCTTTGGGAGCAGGCTATACAATGGAAGTGCAGAAGTTAATTTCCTATTTAGGGCTCAGCGTAGAGCAAAATCTGTGATCAAAATAGAGGCTCCAATCAAAGCTTTCTGCAGATAATTTGCATGTGGGCCAGCTTCTACCACAAATCTGTATCTAACTTAAGCACCCATCTCTCTGTAACAGCCCTAGACCCAAAATCTCAAGTCTTCTATGACATTTAGTTAGAATTGGACACAAAATCCATCAAGGAAGACACATCAGATGTCCATAGGAAGTGTGGTTTCTTTAGGATGCCAAGTTAGAGATAATCCCCCTCTGCACATCTACGCAGATGATAAGGGGGAAAAGTGACCTCTCTGGATGCAAATAAAAAGCTCACCAGTACCACCAAGATTAGCACTCTGGATCGACATCATGAAACAATGAAGTGCCATATATACTCAGCATGTAATTTCCACTTGAGACCAACTGTTTTCCAGCTTGGCTCCAAGTTCTGCATTCCTCACTACAGCCATGCTGAAATTAGTTCTGGATCTCTAGGAAACAGAGCCAGTCTGAAGTATTTCATTTTCATTCTGACTCCAAGTTCAAAACCCAGTTTTGTCTCATGCTCAAGGCCAAACCCAGGCATGAGAATTTATACTGGAAGACAGTTTTAAGAAGAGCCTGATAGAAGGTTTAAAATGGAATTCTTACGTGGATGTGAACAACATCCAGATACTAGTATTTTCATCGAGTAGGGGCAGATCAGAAACCCAGGAAAGGAGCAAAGAAAAACAACAGTAAAATGAGAACAGTAAGCTTATCATAAAACAAATGAGTTGTGCTAGAAGAGAACACCATGCGCTAGCAATTCTAAGTACCATCTCTCCTTCTATAGGGACTTTACCATGTTAGAGGTTTTGTTCTTCAGTCTTTAAGGGAAACAATGAGAGGGGGAACATGTTCTCTATAAATACTCTCAAAGTTTATCAACTTAAGCTTTGCAGTCTTACAGCTGTGAGGTACTTGACTGAAACAACTGTCAGTACCATACATTTCAGGCATCTAAAAGTTTTAGATAACTTCCATTCATATTAGGTTCTGTTTCAAAGGAACTATCTGTGACCTTCAGCAAGTCCCTTGTACACCTAATAAAAGCACCAGGATCTCTGCTCTTAAAGTCCTTACTGCAGCTTTTCATATACTCAAGTTCCAGTCCATCCAGTTTCATTCAGTATCATCAGTAACTGCTCAAAACTCCTTACCTCCATCATTTCAAAAATACTCTCAGGATCAAGGCTACCTTTCCCCACTTTCTTCATAGAAGTGAGGGCGCCTTTACTGGTCACAGAAATAAGCAGGCTGGCCAAAGAACAGGCTTCTTCCTGAAGGGTAGCATCCACCACATGCCTATATCCAATCTGTAAGTTAGTGACAAAACAACGTATTAGTTTGCAGTTGTCTAAGCTCTTTATTAAGAAGTTAAACTGTGAGTAGCAGCTCTGTTGGCTATCTACAGCCTCCCATCCTAATATCATGTGACTGAATTGACAAATTATGTGTATGTATATAACAGAGGTGAGAAAAGCATGTCACTAGTTCACGCTGTTTCCCTCTCTGACCATCCTTTCATCTATATGAAACTCCAGATTCCCCTTTCCCTTCAACGCCAAGCATGGACTTTGCTCCCCGCTAGGTGAAAACTACACATCCTGAGACTCAGGTGAGCCCCCACCTCAGTGGTGACCTTTCTGCTATTTAGGGAACTTGCTCAAAAGATACGTCAGACAAACTTCCAGGTAACTAAGCAAATCATTAACTCTTACATTGGAAAACGCAGCATCCAGCAAATCAACTGTGTTAGTTGTGGGCTATATATGGAAAAGGAAAACAAAAACCTGTTTCAAAGGAAAGGACAGTATTGCACCCATGAAAACAGAGTTCTGTCCCCAGCAACAAATACTCGTTGTGTAACTCCAGACAGATCACACAGCCTCTGTGCTTCACAACAATACCCATTTGTTTTAACATAGTGAAGCATCTGCTGCTCTGGATGTTGAGCAAGGAGCAGACGAAAAATAAACAACTCTTCTGCATGCAAGAAGATGCATTTTAACAACGCATCATGTAGAAATCTGCAAGTCAGAGGTGAAAAAAAAAAACCTTATTCAGTAAAAGTTCTTCTTAATTAGGAGGCCAGGGATGAACAAATATATACATAGTGGACACTGACCATTTCTGAACACAAGTTTTATCTCTAGGGAAAAAATAAACGGCAGATGAAGTTCATAGAAACTGAAGCCTCTAGGGTAGAAGGTCAGAAATTTGTCAGGCTTACTTTGCTTAGTGTGACAATGCAGGGCACATCATCCACATTAAGTCGAATACAATCGTAAGGGTCATCAGACAGCTCAATCTCTTTAGAGCCTTCTTCATCCTCCAGAACACGCACTTTGGGTATTCTTTGGAAATACAATGTGCAAAATCATTGTCAGAACAGATAACGAATACAGGTGTCATACAGTCTCAACTCCAAGAAGTGCCCTTTCCTCTAAATGAGGCTAAATGTTTAGAAAAAAATCCAGAAAATTATCAAAGTATTAACAACTCACTCACTGAGACTAGGAAGAAAACAGCGTAAGCGGGAAGATATTTAGGATAAGAGCATCGTATCTACATCATTCAAACGGTTAGAATCTGAACTGGTTTTTACACTAATATATGGGGAGAAATTCTTTTGGAACTTGCACAATTGCAATTCTGGACAATTCTTTGTACAGCTGTCTGGACATACAGGAGATAAATTACCAAGACTGAATCCTTTTGTACTGTGGTTCCCAACCTTGCAGACAGCAGTACAGTTGTCAGAATTACAGCAACTGCATTGCCTGGCAAAGCTGTGACATCGGTAGCAAATACAAGTTGTAAAGCTGTTCAGGAAAGAATGACACTAAGGAGTCTTGGGGTAAAGGAAAAAGATTATATTAGTAGAATCCTTTCTCTTTAAAAAGATGGGAAGATTGGCAAGATATTCTCATTCTTTAAGAAGCCGGAAGACTCTACTGTTCTAAGGACAGATACACAAAAGCAACCATCAGGGATAAAAACCCAGGCACAAACCCAAGAAATGCTTTCTTCTCAATTGTGAGTGACAAGCTCTCTCACAAATGAGCTAGACGGGCTCCTTATCAGCGATATGTATATTGTATTTGTTATAGTCATTTAATGGGAGTTTTACAGGATGATTTAAGGCAGCTTTCTTAGCACAATTAATAAAGTAATTTAAAACAATTTAGCAGAAGATGGTATCTCAAAAAGCCAAGAACCTCAGTGTCTTATATACCCTCATTTATCCAGGTGCCCACTGGGATGGAGTATTGACTGAGAGACTTTGCTTTACTGGCCAGTAAAACCCACACACAGCTCAACCATACTGCTCTCACTTTCGCACATTTGCACTTGAAACATGAACTATTTCAAGACATCCCTAGAAAGCTGACTTCAGTAACCACGTGGAATGCAACCACAATCTGTTTTTTTATTAGTGCTTTTACAGTAATGTTGTGTTTTACAACTAGACTCTGGAGGTTACATTCTTTTACACGTTCTGTACCAAATCTCTTTTAAAAGAAAAGGAGATAGGGACTGATTTAGTGAACTTTTCCCCCACCAACGCAAAGTGATTTTTGTTGTTCCCTGGAAATGTATTTTAGTTATTTGTGGCTAAGAGTCCTAGAGGCAAGTACTTCACAACAGCTAACCCTGTTTCAGTGAGAATAAATTCCCTACAAGAACATTGGCCTGAGCCAAGCTATAACTAAAACTTTCAGTAAGCAGAACAACTAAGATGTGTACTTTTCCCTGAAATGAAACTCAAAACGCTTTGCAGAGTTACATAACAACCCATTGGAAATGTATCAAAGCCTGTTTTCAAGTTAAAAATACTCCATTAAAAAGTGATGGAATAAAGTCACAAGGTGACCAACCCTCTAGCTACGCAGGACAATGGAGAACATTGGACAACAGCCCAGACAAGAAGTGTAGGTGCCAGAGCAGTGCTTAAAAAAAGAATGAAGATTTCAAGAAAATCTGAGAGATGAAGCAATTTTTAACTCCATCCTAAAATAGCTATGAAACCAGAGCAACGTTTGGTCTGCAAGAAAAAGTTGCCAGAATTAATACCTGAAAAATCCCTGCAAAGAGCTGTTTTGGCCAAGAACAGATGAGAGAGGAACAAATGAACTATTGCAGAAGCAAAAAGATAGTTGATCAGACACAAGCATCATAGTTGCATAAAAAGGGGGTATATACACAAAAAAACTAGGCAAAGAGAGCGTAGCGCAAAGAGCATTTCCGGAAAACTTGAGATTTCCTCTCCCAGCTTATGAAGATTTATCTTAAGAACTAGCTGTACATGTTTACTTTGCAACTTTTATTTTTCTGTTTTGATTCCTGCAACTAATCAGGGCAGAAATCTGTACAGCAGGACTTAAGTCACATAACGAACAATGCTGTTTTCTGTGTGCTGCAGACCCAGATTTCACAACTACAAAACCAGTTCTACCCTTGCAAGCAGCCATCAGTTCTGCCTCTACCGTGCTGCCCAGCAAAAAAACCACGACATCTGCAAGGCTATTGTGTTATAAACTCTGTAGCTTTTGTAACTTGCCTGGTTTCTGTTGCCTCGGTCGCAAGTAGGCACATTCCACAGGATCAAGTTTAATGCTAAGCCCTGACACAGTAGCTACTTGCGCATTTTGCAATATCTACTTCGATCATGGATAAACCCAGCCTTAAGCACCGTGGAGACAGTTAAGAAGAAAGTTTGATATCTGGTATCTTTTGCACATGATCTTGCTATAGTTTTTAGAACATAATGAACAATACAAAACTCCAAGGAGTAAATGTTCCCCCTAAAACAGTCATATTGCCATTGTTCCATGCCTGAAGAGGATACGATGAGTCAGGTCAGACATACAAAGGATTTAAATCCCATTAATTCTTGCGCAAAATTCCTTAAGTTACGATTTTGCATTTACTTAGTCCTAAAGTCCTAAATAGATATGTGTCCATAGCTATTGCAAAAATGGTTAGAGCAAGATTTTAAGGATGAAGCTGAGGTTTTCAAATGCCTATCTGAACATCTAAAAATTTGTAGCTTCAGAAAAAACCCAGCAGCTTGAGCTCCCTGCTCTTGGTTCCAAAGCTGCAGTCACGGCTGACAAAGATCTGAAAACACTTATAAAAAAAACCTGTTTGTAAACAGATTATGAAAGGCAAGTAAGACTCAAAGAGGGACACACATGTCAAGCGACGTTCAGAACACTTAATCTGAAGTGATCTTCAAACTGATATCTTGTCTTGCTGGGACAATATTTTATGGAGAGAGGGCAGCTATTCTAAACAACCTTGTGTCAATCCAAAGAAAACTTAGTAGGTACCAAAGGAAAGGGAGAGGAATAGTGAATGAGGACAACAGGTTTTCACTTTGAATTTCACCTCTTGACTCTCTGAGTTCATATGAGATAGATGGACTAGCAATCCCTCCTCAAATCAATAGACAGGGTTTTCACAGGTCAAAAATCAACAGGCTCTGTGTTATGTCATATGGTAACACATGTTGATTTGATAGCTGACTTCCACAAAACTGTGGATGGTTGCCCACAGATTAAAGATTATACAAAAGAGGCAGTTTTCAGAAGAAGAAAAATAAAGCAAAATCATTAAAACAATTACACTCTTCATGTTGCCCATGTTCCCAAAGCAACAGATTTCCTTTTATTTATTTTTTTATTTGAATTACTTTTTATATGATCTTCTCTCTTTATTCAGAGCTAGGATTCTGGATGAAATAAGAAAAAAGACCTAGTTATCTTGCAAATAAAGTACGTGCCTTGGATCTGCAAAACAACTCACAGAGGAGCAACTGTTTTAACTATACAACTTCTGCATCCTGGCAGCCCACACACAGAGACATAGGCATTTCTTCCCTTTAGTGTACTGTCAACTCTTTTGTGAGCCATTACATTTGTGACAGTATTTTTTAATGCTGCATAAACAATCTACTGTTAAAAGTTACTGTTGAGAACTTGATTAACATGGGAAACTTCTCAGCAATATATAGAAGTAGTCTTAGATGGATTCTCCCCTTATCGCCTTTTGAAGGGTTTATATCCTGCTATACTGCCTGTCTTCAAAAGCGTATTTTCCTTCCTCCTGCATGTACTTTTCCAGCTTTAGTGCTGTGTGCTAATTCCCTGATCAATAAGCCAGAACTATGTGAGTGACTTTAGCAGATCTCTAATTTACAGCTGAAGAACAATCTGACATCCACTTTCAAAACATTTATGCCTGTAAGAGTCTAACTTTTGCACCTCTTCCAGCTACTTTTGCTACCTAAGTTTTTTAGCAAAGCCATTCACTAGTTTCTTTCTCAAGGGTGCTACAAAACTTTGTATTCCCTTTCATCTACAGATCAAGAAGATAAAAACATTAGAAAAAATATTCTTGAATGTTATCATTAAAACACACACAGAGCACTTGCATCAATCATTCTACTAGATTTTGTTCTTCCACTCTTTGAATTAAAATGCATGGGGCAAAGTTCTTTTAAAGACACGTCATTTCCCCCTCCCCACAATCTCTCACCACCATTTTTTCCTCTTAGTTTTAAAAAGAGCTTTAGACTAACAGTTAACGAGAAAGAACATCAGAAGTGGGAAAACAGGGCTAGTTACAAACCAGTAGTCACATTGACAGAGGGCTTCTTATTCAGGAGCATCACATATCAGTAAATACTTCTTATTTTAAACCCACAAGGCATCAAGACAAAGGCCTCCAACTACTTGCAACAAAACCATATGGTCAAGACAATTTTTTCTGGATCTGGCTACAGAACAAAAGTTATATTGTGAACCTGACTGTGCATATAATGCAGTATGACACTTGAGTATTAGAAACTGAATTAAAGTAATTAGTTCATGTTATTTGCATGCAAACGGACTGCCTTGTATCTGAATGCAAGTTGCCTTGGGTATTTCTTATTTAAATAATTAAGCATTAAAAATGCTTAGCTCACAGAGAGTACTTCTCTTTCACTTCCCATGTCACTTCCACTCACATGAAATGAGATTTGTACTCTACCTTGTGTTAAAGAGAGCTGCCTTCACTGCTATTGAGATTGCATCAAAGAGGTTCCCACCACATTCCAATAGCTGGGGAGGAAAAAAAAGAATCTCTTTAAAAGAAAATCAGGCTAGTGCCTTTAAACCAAGTCTTTATTTTACTTAAACCTACTTGAAACGGCACAAAATGAAGAACCAGAACAGGTTTTTAAAAAACAAAGTTGTCTTTAAAGCCTATCTATGAAAATAAACAACAGATAGGAAATTAAGATTTCAGCTAACTGCATTATACATGCAAAATAGAAGAGTTAACGTACTTCATAATAAAATTAATTATAAAATCTAATAATAGCAGCTGAAATGAAACCACCACTATTCTTACTCTTCTTGTGCTAAGGCTCTGAACTAGACTATGACCAGAATACTTTTTATAAACTCACCACATTCATTCTTTAATGTTAAATCAAGCCGATCTATTTTCTATACTTTATTTCAAAGAGGAGTCTTTTTTAAATATCAGCTGGACAAACCCAATTGGTAGAATCGTTTTCAAAGAAGCAATGCAAATTGTCACCCAGAACATGGTATGAAAAGCTAGTTATACAAGGTATAGTTACGAAGGCACATCATGATTTGTTCTCTATTCTTCATGGAAAGGGAGTCACCAGCAGGTTTGTCTTGTAGCTGAGAAGGACCTAAGGAAATCTTGATGTCAAAGTCTACTTGTTGATAACACTATCATTTGAATTAAAGTGTGTGGAGGGAGTCTAGCTCAGTTTCTTCCCGTGAAGATCAGAAGAACAGCACTGCATACTACATAAAAAGGCAGGGCTCCCACAACCACTGATACCTTCTATAGGCTGACAGACAACTCAAAGATGTATTTGGCCATAGTCTAGTGTTAGTTCTCTGATAAGCTCCACTCTGAGCCGCCAGTACTATTCTATGAACACACACATGCCCAGCAAGCATTTGAAACTACTTCAGCGAGAACATATGGATGCTCCTCCGTTACAGCAGTCTATGCTGTATGAGAGCAAAACAAGTTTTGCAACACTGATTGCATTGCTTGTTCTTCAAAATCTATTCAAGAATGAGATAAACTCCCACACTGGGAGCAAATCATAAATCAGATATTCTGGAAAGACAGTTTATTTTTATGAAGACAGACTGAATTGTGTAAAAAGAATGACAAGAAGTTGGGATAGAAAGCTAAATATGAAGGTGATCAAATTATTTCTTTGCTAACAGCTGCTGGATACAAAGAGGTTAACTTGCCACTTTCAGTCATTATTGGATTTTACTGGATAACACAATAAGCCCCACAGTATCTTTGTTATTAAAACACAATAATGGGATGTGCCTGTACTGTTGCTAGGCTTATGTTCAGGCTGCTGTTCTAAAGCCTTATCTGTATTACAGTGGCACCTATAGGCTAGGAACACAGCCTGTATCAAGCATGGTACAACAATTCCTCCAAAAAGAACCGAACACTCTCTTCTCAGCTGAAGCACCTTGTACTGAGATCCCCCTCTATTATTTTTTTCTGGGTTTTTTTGTTTGGTTTTTTTGTTTTGTTTTGTTTTTTTAAGGCTAAGAAAGTCTGCACAGCTGTGAGTTGTGGGAAGCAAAGGAGTCTTTAGAAACGACTGCTTTTAATTTACTGATATACAAATGAAAAAGTTATCAGGGGTGGGAAAAAAAAGAGAAAACATTGTAGACCTTGCTTATTCAAAGAAGTTTTTCCTCCAAAAGGAGAGATTTCTAAGTTTTGGGGTTTTTTTCCAAACTGGGGGGGGGCGGGGAATAGAAAAGATGAGGAAATCCTCTGAGGGATGCTCAGTAGCGAACTGCTAAGATTTCAACAGAATCTCATGCGCCCCCCAACACACAATGTACTGTGATTGGGTAGGGAATGAAAAGAGATTGCACACTTTGATTCTCCATGCTCAGTACTGCAGGCTGCTGGGGCAAATCTTGTGGAAAAGGCTATACACGTATCAAAAACACCCTCAAAAATGCCTAAAAGCTTATTTCTGACATCCGTGACTTAGAAGGGGAAAGAAATTGAGGGAAAGACAGAAAGGGTGAGAACAGGCCTATAGTTTTGCAGTACTGTGTATCTCCACATTCATGAGCTACTCTTTGGAACTGGAACACCTTCTATTATAAAAAAGAATGCATGTACTTTGAAAGTTCAAGGTATATATTCTTGACCTTTGAAACATATCTGTAAGTGTCCATATGTCTGCATCTTTGTAGTGTGTATAGTTGAAGTTATTTTCTTTCCAGTCTGACTGTACACAATTGTAACACCTCCCAAGTACATTGGCCACTAGAAAGTACTTGAGAGATGTTTTTAATCAATAAGCTGCATGACTATGCAAAACATACTAATTTCTCTCTTCAGGTTGCATATCTCAAGTTTTGTTTACACATAGGAGCTGAATATAGATGCTTTGATCACAGTATGCATGGCTAAATTACATAGCAATGGAGTATCTCCAGGTTCATAACATTCTTTCTGGGTTTTTGTCTTTTGGAATGAGAGAGTTGAAACAAGTCCCTTCCCACCTGACCACAACGTACCAGTAGTTTCAAGCTTACGACAGATTTAAGGCTTATTTTCCCTCCAATTTAACTATGAAAACAAACAAGAATGTGAATAATTTCCAGGAATTCTGAAGGAAAACATCATCCAAAGGAATCTCAATAAGTATTGTTGTTATATTTAGAATCTGGCTGCCTCAAATGATGAATAATATGACTTGTAGTACCTTATATTAGCACAAGTGTCGTACTTCTACCATGTACTATTAAAATAGAATTCTATAGGAATGATTCAGCAAGAGCAGCTTCAGGAAAATCTGTAGGTATCAAGCACCCACATCAAGTACATCACATGTGATATACATGCCTTCTATTTAGAAAAGGAAATAGTACAAATACCTCAAAAATGTGAAAATACAGAGGCCTGGGATGGAAAAAAAAAAAAGAGACAGGGGAACAGAATAAGAAAGAAATGTTAAGAGTATCTTGTTCTAACTATATCAGCAGCTCTTCAATGGCTCACACACAAAATCCCTGCAGAATATGACATTAAAAAGACACATCAAGTTTAGAGTCCTAATTATGAACCAACAACAGATTCTTTATTGGCACTGTAAACAAAGCTAAATGTAAAATTCATCACATAACATAGGTCTTGACGTTCATAATCCTGATACAACTAGTAGCATAAAAATACCAAGGCTGTTTTTCTCTGTAGCTGTGGACAATCAACAAATTTGTCCAGGAAGAATCAAATCATGACCAGTTATACTTCATACAAAAGCTATACAGAACTACTTCTGCAGCAGTCAGCTTTATGAAAGTCTTTGTTTATGCAGTGTTTATGCAATGTTAAGCAGTTCATTGCTTAAATAAGCACAACATTTAATATTCTGTACCTCTGCTTGTAATTACCTAGTAACTAAAGGCCCCAGTGTGATTTCTCAGAACTGACACTTAATTCTCTATTAAACTATGTCAAGCTCCAACAGGCTGGTGACTAGAACTGTTAAAGCACTCAGCAGTGGTACATATCTGATCATTCTGTATGCAGACTAAGTCACGGTATGTACCATATCCACTATAATTAGGCTCATGCTACTGCTTTTTAAACACCTAATGGACTAATTTTCACATTTATTTACGTCTTAGTCTGAATGTTCCTGTTTTGTTTAACAAAACCCTGTATTTGGGTTTGGGTTTTTTTTTCAATACAGCTTAACATTTTGTAAATCATTTCATAGACATGAATGGATTCCTGTGAGTAAGATCCCTCAACATAGTTTCAGTTACAAATTTGAGAAATAGAAACTCAACTTTGGACCAATAAGAACTGGAAATAATGCTCAGGACAGTCTGACTTGCAGACTTCTATTAAATTCCCATGACAGCATGCTTTAAATACAGTATAGTATATGGAAATTGAGCTGCTGCATGCACAAGATTTATATGCATAAAATTCATCTTCCATTTTTTAATGGGAACAAATATTCCGTTTCTCTTCTACATTCAATACATGCATACAACTTTCATCAAAAAGTGCCTCGGCCAAACGTAACTTTTGCCAGGAAAGTTTCTATTTTACTTTACTGAATTAGTACTGACAATAGTGCAAAGAGGTAGACAGGATGGACAGTTACGTTAGGGCTAACATACACCCATGCTAACTTACATTAATTAGAATGATACACTTATTGTTGTATCTAGCTTGGAAAAAAGTTTAATCTTCTTTAGTGGCAATTTCCTTGTCAGTATAAGGTCACTGATTTTTATCTGAGAGAGATCTGGAGTATTCAGTGTTTTATTAGCTCTGCAGCAGAGCAGCAGCATCAAGAAGAGCAGAAAATGAGCAAGCTGGAAGTAGCGATTAACTATTATAGGTAGATTCAAAGAAAATGGCCATCCATGCTGTGAAGGTTTATATCACATTATGAGAAACCTTTTTTATATGAAAATACAGATGGTTATGCTAAGTCAGTCAGTGCCTTGAAAAACTTCCTTGAATGTTAGTTTTCATTTCCTTACTTACCAATACATCCACATAGAGAACCCAGCAGTGCTCTCTGGGATTAATACAAAGTGATTTCAAGTCTACACTGTTCTCGCTGCTAAATACTCTGTAGAGTGTGTTTGCTATCTCTGTGCCAAGTTCTTCTCCTCCCCGGCCTTCAAATTCAGGAGTAGCATTTGCAGAACTAGATAAAGAAAGAAAAAATACTTTCACTTCTGAAGCAGCCAATACCCAAAGAACATTTCTTAAATATAAAGCATCAGAAATACCTAAGGATTTATTTGTACAAGAATAAGCATCCTATCTGTAAAGAAGTTATTTCCATTTTGCACAAGAAAATGTCTTGATACAGATAATATACCTACATTTTGCTACAAACTCTGATACTAATTAAATTCCACTACTATCTTCAGTTTCCAAGTTACAATACTAAAGTTGGTGAATTCTGTCAGGGATTATTTCTTAAGCACTCTCATCTTCTATCATCTTAACCCTTTCAAAAATAAAAAAGTGAGAGAAATCTGTACGAAGTTCAGAATAGCTAACAAGACAGCCTGTTAGAATTGAATGTTAAATTAATAAGATAAGAGGGTGGCTAAGAAGAGAAAGATGTGATGCTATCACAAATAGAATACTTTTTTTTTTTAAAGTGACATGACCACTTGACCTTAATTGGTAATTTCTTTACTGAGTGTACTCTCTGCTATCAAGCCATTTACAGACAGCACCTCATTCTTTTCAGCAACTGCAGCTTATGGAGATCAGCATTTTTTCTTTCTTTTTTTCCAGAAGGGATCTGACAAAAGCATATGATTTTCACTCCCTGATTCCAACATAGCAAATTTTGTTTACGAGCAGTCATGCAAGTAAGTCTTTGGGTGCTGAGGCCTTGTACTCAGCTAAGAACAAAATTCTAACAATGAAAGAAAACAGGCCCACAAAAAAAAAAAACACACCCACAAAAAAAACACCAAACAAAAAACCTCACCTCCAAGTCACAATGAAATAGAGCAGAAATGTCCAGAGATGCATATACAGCAAAATAACAAATATTCTGAACCCAGCCTCTGGTTTATAGAGAGGACAAGAGCATTCTCAAGCAGTGGACCTATGGCACACATTGCAGATCTTGTTTTTAAATAAACTACTCAGACCTCCCCCCAGATTAATTCCTCATTACAGAACATAAAAAAGGAGCTGGTTCCACATAAGTAGCTTGATATATTCAAAATCTATAACAGCAAAGCCTTGTATTCTCCTGGCCAATTTCTCATGTATGTTCTGTGTTTATATGATGATACAAACTCTTAGCTCTTCCAACAGGAACACCACAAGAATGTAAATATACAGAAGAAGACAAAGTCTTGGAATACAAAAACCCAACAACTAAAGATCCACATTATCTAGGTATGACTTAAACCATCAAGTGAGCTGTATCAACAAGACTGCAGCACCTATAAGGGAAATCCTTACCTCACAGTAATTCTCCCAACTTGTTCTTTTGCAGAACTGATGAAAACTCAGAATGCCAGGAAGAGCTACTGAGTTTTACAGAAGCTATTTGCTGCTTCTATAACCAGACAACACTATACATGGTCAAAAAAATAATTACTGCCAGTAAAGCACTGACCTATGCTTCCAAACTACACTTGCCACACGAGTAAGCGCTGCAAGTGTGACATAATATTATTCGCAGTTGCGTTAACATTGGACAACAATTTTATAAGATAGGACCATATCTAAGTATAACTTAATTCTAGAAATATGCGGAGTCTGGCCTCTAAGTTGTATTAAACAAGCACTTATCCAGGGAAGCAGCTTTTATGCAAGTTAATGAGATCATTCTGTTTACATCATCCTGTTCAAAGTATGGTTATGCAAGCATTATGACTCCTATGGTAAGTTGAAAAGAATTACACAAACCTCACTCTATACTTCATTATTATTTCTAAACATGAAGTTTTATCAAATGTTGTCATTTTTAATTATAAATGGCCACTGTCTTTGACAGCGAGTAAGAAGAACGTAGGACTCAATTGGAATATTATTGCAACTTTCATTGCATCTTAATTCCATTATTATTTTAAGATTTTGATTCCTTGCAATGAAAGTGAAATGAAAAAGTAATGTTAGCATGGTACTATTATAATAACTATATGGTAAATACTGCCACCCAATATACCCAGGCTATTGCAGTAATTTACACTGGGTAAAATTCAAAAAAGGGTTGTCTAGCACACTAATAAAAGAAAATGCCAAAAAGCTTGTTTTACGGAGCATTGAAAGAACTTAGTAGTGGCCAAATGGAGCACAGAATTTCCACTCCTGAACAGAATGTAATTTTAAAGACTTTCCAAACCATTTCAGTGTCACATTGCATAACAATCAAGACTCCTAAAGCACAGTGAGGCTTCTACCACAGATGTCTACTTTCAAAACTCTTGCTGTTACCAGTCAAAACCTTTCTCCCACAGTAGTTAAGTACTTCCCATCCGTTACTCAGGCCATTAATATACTATAATCGACAACGTAAGTAATTATAACAGAGATAAAACAGTTAATTCAACAAAAGCTTACAGCTATTTTGCTGGTATACAAGGGCTTCATTACACAGAGGATATTCTTCACTTAAAGCTGTATTTACTTCGAGCAACCAATACCAGATTTCTATCCTTGCACCAAAAGAAGCATACAATCATTTAAAACGAGAAGGCAGATTCACTGTTTTAGAATCAGCCGTAAGTTAACCACCTCACTAATATTCTAGCCGTCCAGAAAGCAGCCAGAAAACATCACATTTATGACACATCTGGACTGCCAAAGCAGTCCCAGAAATAGATAGACCTGAATTCAGGTCCAGATGCCGTCTAACTGTGTTAATATGATTATGATGATATTCAAGCTCATGACCCTACAAAAAATTGGGCTGACAAGGGTTTGGATTTAGCCTTGTCAAACTGGTAACTCTACCAACACTGATTTACTGATTCAGGTCTTTGCCTGGTCAGGCACTGCCACCTCACTTCCCATCCAAAAAGAATATCTGCTTATAGCTTGAAACAGTTTTTACCCAAGCATTAGATGGTGTTTCTCTCTGAAAACCAAGCTAAATCCACTACAGACCATCTTTAATGGAGGAAGTATGGTAAAAAAAATGGTATAGACATTTCATTCTTTCAGAACTCCTTAGTTTGCCTCTTGCCTCTGCAAAGAGTAATTGCCATGATAACGGGTTTATGGTAGGGGAGAGAGGGGGAAGAAAGGTTCCTTTTCTGCAGCCACCATCCAAGTGGTATCTTTAGTGACTGCACTGAAATTTGTTTTAAGTTAACATTTTCCCCACAAAACCCAACAGAACGGTATCTGAGGATCACCTAAGAGCATGCTGATGTGGTTGTTCTGCAATACCATCATCTCTTATGATTTTGAGAACTATTTTCCATCTATAATATTTAAGATCGTATCTGATCCAGTCTTCCATGCGGGCACCAATGAAACAGGCCCACCCTTCCAGCTGGAACAAAAGCATGTCTGGACTTCAAAGTGGAGGAACAGATGGCTAGACTTGGACAAATATATTCCTTGCTTCCCTAATTCCACAAACTAATGCATTCAAGGAATTCAGATTTGTCTGCCTTTTTTTTTTTTATTTCTTACACTTTGAAAATTATAAATCTTTGCTTCAGTCAAAAACCAAAACCAAAACAACCCTAACAAGTCAGTATTAGAACAGCCCCAAAACTCAAACCTGAGAAAAGCAGACACAGCAGTCTTTCAACATCAATGACCGGGATTACTGTCCTCCAGTGCTGATGGGCAGTAAGGACATCACATACGACATGGACTTATGCTATGATAATTAATTTCTAGTATCACAAATCAGTGCCCCAAAAATCATGTCTTCCAGAGACTAGCATTAAAGTCTGTCTCAAAATGGGACTAAATGTGCTTCTCAGATTTCGGGATAAGGACTCAGAGCAGAATGAAGAGAAATGGAATTTTGGGGCAGAGAATTATATACATGATCCAGCAAGTGATTATTTTCAGCAGTACAAGAAACCATGAAAGTTTTGGGAAACAAGCATTTTAAGATAGCTAACACTGCAGGCTGAGTTTTTATTATTAGTTTCAACAATATAAAAACCAAGTAGAACACACAGGAACTTCACCACAAGATGCAGTGTATCAAACTATGCTCAGTTACTACCACCCAGTGGCAGCCTGGAAAAGCATCAGAGTACTGACAGCATCTCATTTGCCTTTAGAGAGAACAAGCTGCTCTCACTTCACATTTTGTCTTTTGGATCTTTCTGGAAGCTAGCGGTCACCTTTCCCTGGCGGCACAAGCATGTGAAGTGACTACCCTTCTCTAAAATCTAGGCTTTTGGTCTGTGTCGTCACAGAAGGCAAGGATTACCCATTTCTAGAACTGACAAGATCCACCTTGCACAATATTGCTGCACATCTCCCTACCATCTTTTTAGGAGGTAAACAGTCAGAAAATACAACCTAACATTCATCTAATGAGTCAAAGTTTTTTTTAACATTTATTTACAATGAAAGAAGTGTCACAGAATTGCAATATCCCCACAGACCCCTTGTTTTAGTAAGGAAATGTCCCTGCTGTAATTGGACTTTCTTCATATAGAAACCACTGGAACAAAGCAGGTATTGTGTAGGATATTTCACACACAAGTTTTATAAAGTAGTCAAGCTCAGATCCCCTCTAACAGCAGGACCACATTTGAGAAGACCATCTTCCTTTCTGATATTTTTTGAACAGTAATCATAGACAAATCATTAATTCACAGGCGAGTCCTTCCCTCTACAAACCATAAGTTTCCACAGTTAACTCGTACATTGTGATGTATAGAGGCAGTCTTGGAAAAGGCTGCATAACGTGAGATACAAATGTTAAGGCAGATACAGCCAGTTCGGTCAGAAAGATTATCAGATATACACTTAGTAGCTCTTATACCTTAGCTTTACTAACAGTTTAATGTCAGAGTAGCAACACTTTTTTGTTTTAATAAAAATAGGCCACATGCAAAACAGCTACCTTGACAGTGCCAAGGCTTTTATGAGAGTTTTCCAGGCACATTATTTCATAAAGAACAGTTTTAGGAAGTCTGCAAGATACTGTGGTTTCAGACAGCAGACAGTCTGGAATATGACTGAGATGTCACTGCGCTATCTCAGAGCAACTTGAAAACAAGAGGTCTCAGTTTCCTTCTAGCTTCCCTCATAATTCAAGCACTATGAAGACTGTAAGGATAAGCAATAGTCCATTTGTAGCACAAAGCCAGGAATATGATTAAAAACAAACACCATTTTAGTTAATGAAATACGGATTCACTGATAAATATGATAATTAAATTTTCTAATTAACTTTTGCATCTGAAGTTTACAGTAAGGATTTTTTTTTTTAAAACAAATGGTTTTGTACAAGACACCCTTCAAACTTTTTCCACTGCTGTCAAAGACAATGTAAGCAAAATCCTTTAAGTACAGTGAAAGTACAATCTGTATCAGTCAGTTCTCTTCTTCTGGAATACTTCATTTTTGAAAGAGATTTTTTCCATTCTATCATTGTAAAAAAGACAGTTGACACTGTAGTCACGAAGTCGTGTTAAACACACGTACAATTGAACCATTACTCTTTTCCAGCTGCAGTGATGCTATGCAACTTGGGATTTTGTTTAACCTGATTTCATTCCTTAACTCCTATTCTTTTGCTTATTTTGAATCTGCAGAACCAGCAGAAAGTTTCTGAACATTAACCACTACTGAAAAAGTAGAAGAACTTGTTTCTATTACTCAGACCCTTATGGGAGGTTAGTGGAATGAAGGTATAAACTTCAGAAGAATGGCAAGATCTGATTAGTCATTTATTCCAAATATTAGATGTATTTCCTTCTCTTCTAGTATACTAACCAGTCAACAAAGAATTCCAGGTAACCTTCATCTGGTTTCTCCAACTTTGGGGTCCCCATTTCAGCTTTTACACCTACCAAGATATCAGTGTGTCCCTGTTAAAACAAAAACATATCACACAACTAGAACTATATTCACAATGCTATTTGTTTAATTTAAATATCTATGGTAAGCTGACATTTCTACCTTTCAGTTATCTGCAACCATCATTCTATCAGAGTGAACTCAAAATCACATTAGTTTTTTTTAAAAAAGGAAAGGCTTTAGAAGAACAATGTTAAGCTTAAGAAGTTTCTTCAAATAATCACCATAAATATTAGCTTTCTCTAGGTTAAAAAGACACTCTTCATATCCATGGCTTTTTCTATCACTTTCGTTCTGGAAACAGCTATATCTGCAGAACCTTTGTAATATTGCACAGTATATTTATCTTCTTCACAGCCAACATGTGCCAGAAGTAGTTTTGCTTCACTCTAAAGGAACAGCGTTATTTTTTCCAGTGATTAGGCAGAACAGCAATTTCATTTTTTCAAGATTAAATGGTAGATTAGTTCAGATTGAATGCTTTTCAGGTACTTCACAGTAAATCTAGCTCAAGTAGGTTAAGCAAGCCTGAATGAATTATATATCCTGTCATTATTTCCTTAACCCTTAGTTTCAGTTAATGCTATACATACACACATTTTATTATACACACACACACACATCCATCTCCAAATAGCCTCAGCTTATCTTAGAACTAGTCACATAAACCAGAAGTCGCATCAGCAAGGTATGTGATCCCTAAGAAATTTACCAACCAGCTTTACTCTTGCAGATCCACTTGTGTTTGATACAACATCTGTTTCTACTTCTGCACATCTGTAGTCTTCACAGCCACGACCATCTACACGAAGGTCCTCCTAAGAACAACAATCAATATATTGTACTTAAGGGAATCAGTAATGAAAAGTAAAAAAAGAATCTGTGATTTTAAAGTTTCCTTTTCCTATGCCAAACACAGCGGTAAAATTAATATAAAAGCAACAGCTCCCAGTTTCATCACTAACTTTCACGTAAGAGTACAACAGAACGAACCGTACTTTTCCATTCACCTCTCATTCATCTAAAGCTTGCAACAAGCTCTCTGCAGACAGACCTGAACCCCTGCACTACTACCATCCTGTTCCAACAGAAAGCTTCAGACTACAAAAGTGTAAAGGTCTTGGCTTTAAAAGGTACTTTACCCAACACAACACGGGTCTTTATTGGGATACTCAAGTTTCTACTTTTATATATGTAATTAGGACCCAGCAGACAAAAATAACCCACCGGCCTCCCAGATGCTTTCATCTGTTTGTACTTCAAACACAGATACTATGCACCCTCAAATACTATACAGCTCATCCCCATAAAAGTAGTTTTCTTTGCAGTAAAATACAGTTTCTGTACTTCACAGAAAGTACAGTCCTTTTATCTTTAGCATTTCTCCACACGTCCTTCATTTTTCCTCCTTGGTCCACTCACCGTTTCCTTGCAATTTCAAGGAATTCACTTAACGACCAGCTAAAACTCTATGCCAGGGCAAGAATTCGTGAAAGAGCAAGGGAAGAGGAGGAAAAAGGAGGACAATAAATGAAATAACAAATCCACGTCCTGTTCTCAGCCTACTTTCTGTTCTGATGCTCTGTTCTCAGTGTGCTTGGATTATTACCCCAGAGATTCCCCCCCTAGGGACCAGGTAGTGGAAAGCTCCCTGCCACCTCCCCAGCCGACACTGCAACTCGTTCCCACCCCACACCTGCTCGCAGGGGACCAAGCCCGGAGAGGTGGGGAAGGGCCCTGCCCCTCACCTCACGGGGCAACGCTACCACCGGCCACAGGCGCGGCCGGCCCGAGCTGACCCGAACGACTTCGCGCTCCCCGGGGCGGAGGCTGCCGCCCCCACCCTGCCCCCGGCCCGCGGGGCCCC